TGTTATGCGAAGCCAATTGTGCGTCAGAATCTTGGTTCTTTTTCATCATCTGCTCGAACATCATTTCTATCCGTCCCATATCACTTCCATAAGAACTAGGCCCTTGTGACTGAAAGAGGGGTGGATTGTTTGGTTGTTGGAACATGGGGGGCCTTTGAAAGCCTTGCCCCCTACCACCATTATTCCACCCTCCTTGATTGCTATTGTTGTTGTTCCAATTGTTGTTGTTCTCGTTCCAATTGCCTTGGATATTACCTTGATTACCCCAATTGTTGTTCTGATTGTTATTGTTCCAATTGTTACCACCTTCTTGTTGATTATTGTTATTCCAATTCCCGCCTCCTTGTTGATTGCCCCAATTGCCTTGGGGGCGCCATTGTTGATTCCCTTGATTTCCTTTATTTCCTTGGTAGTTATTGACATACTGGCATTCCTCACTTTGATCATCAAAACACTCGTTCGAATAACCACCACCATCATTGTTGTTGTCAAACTGCTCACCATTACCTTGAGGTTGTTGTTGCCCTCTTTGCCTCCTTTTTAGCATAGAAACATTCTCCATTGCATTGACTTGGCGCGGGTTTTGTACTTGTTGCAATTGCGCCTTCGCCAACTGATTCATTGTTGTTGTAAGTTCGGCAATAGCTTGGACATGATCACTCAACTCCTTGTGCAAATGGATGACCGTGGGGTCACCTTGGGGTATATTCACTCGGCTTTGCCATGCCGAAGAGGTGTCAGCCATATCATCAAGTATGTCACATGCCTCTTGGAAAGAAAGTTTCATAAAGTTCCCACCGGCCAATTGGTTCACAATGCATTGATTCGTGGTGTTGATGCCCCTACAGAAAGTCTGCTGGATCATCGCCTCAGTCATGTCGTTGTTAGGTAACTCCTTCACTATTGTTCTATATCGCTCCCAGATCTCATGCAATGGTTCCGTTGGCATTTGCTTGAAGGCTAGAATCTCGTTCCGAAGAGCCGCCATATGACTTGGAGAAAAGAACTTGGCAATAAATTTGTCCGCCAATTCATCCCATGTGGTGATAGAATAATTTGGTAACCTTTCTAACCAGTCCAACGCTTTTCCCCGAAGAGAAAATGGGAAAAGCCTCAATCTCAACGCATCCTCTGGCACGTTTGTTTGTTTGCTGCCCCAGCAAGTATCTACGAACCCCTTCAAGTGCTTGTATGCATTTTGGTCAGAGGCTGCCGTAAAATATCCCCTTTGCTCGAGCAAGGTCAACATGACATTTGTGATTTGAAAACTCCCCGCCCAGATTCGGGGAGGAACGATGGCACTCGCGTACCCTTGATTAGGAAGAACTCTTGGGACCGCTCTTGGCGGTGGCAGAGGAGGGTCTGGAATAGGATTGTTGTCATTTGCATTAACATTGGCATTTCTACCTCTCCGTGGTACTTGAGGTACCGGAAGCTCATCTTGCTCATTATCTTCAACCTCCTCCCCCGCCAAGGCATTGCCAAGAGGTTCATTTCCGTTTAGAGCCATGTGTACCTGATGGATCAACACAAATAAAGTTAGTAAAAAGAAGGAAAGAGAAGCAAAACACAAAACTAGCTACACAAATAGTCAACACCGTAAGCTCCCCGACAACGACGCCAAAAAGTGATCGCAGCGGACTCAACCTTAGGAAGAGTGGGCGCTAATACTTTTACCCAATAGTGGTATCGGGGTCAATTTCCACAGGGAGCTAGAAAGGGAGTTGGATATTTGCTTAGTCTAGAAATGCGCGTTTGCTTTTAATTGATCTTCTATCATTTTTGAGTTTTTATGATTATCAACTACAATTTAAACTAAATTATGCTAAGATATTAATTCTAGGTTGTATGCAAGATAGAGAAAGACACTAGGGTCGTGGCATTTACCTAGGTGGTCAACTAACGGGTAGAGATTCCTAATACAAGAATGATGATTATGGGGCTTATGCTATAACCGTTGCACGATTGTACTCACTCTCACACCTCTCGGTAGAAAGAGTGATTTTGCCCAATTGACTCTCTCGAGACCAATTGGGTAGGCCAACAAGCCCAAGCAACTTAGGGTTCAAGTTGGGTAATTACTCTCTCGAGGTTTAACCCGTTAATTGGGACTACCATTCACATGGGTCCATCCCAATTCCTTGTTGGGTTAATTTTGGTCATAGACACTCTTTCTCAAGAAGAGTCAAGACCCACTAAGCTAGAATTAGTGTTTGCAACCACCAAATCCTAGTTAAATCATAAAATTAACCCAAATAGCAAATAACCAACATCATTCATGCATTAAACAATCACACCCATTAATTACCCACACTAGGGTTGAGCCACAACCCTAGCTAATGGGTTTAGCTAGACATAATAGCAACAAAAATTGAAAAAGTAGTAGATAAAATCAACATATTAATTAACTAGGATGTTAATCTACAAGAATCCACGATAAAACAAGATGAAAATGCCCAAAATAGGCTAAAACTTGAGTCTCACGAGTGCTGCTACTATCTGATATCTAATTCTTAACCTAGAAATAATAAAATATTCTATTTATACTAGGCTAGAAAAGCTGGACAAAAATACCCCTGCGGGGCTGGCGCGGACCACGTAGAAATGCAGCGCGGCCACGTAAGGGTCTTGGACTTCGATCACTCACTTCTGAAGCTGGGGACGCGGACCGCGCAAGAAGGTAGCGCGGCCACGCAGGCTGATGGGCGCGGACCGCGCAACAATGAAGCGCGACCGCGTGGACACAAGCACTGACCGCGTAGAAAGGAGCACGGACGCGCATGGTTACCCTTGAAATGTATACTCTCTGAATCTCCTAGCGCGGCCGCACAACATATCAGTGCGTTCCGCGCTAGGTCCTCTTGTCCCTACTTCAATGATTTTTGACACTTGAGCAGGTTTCACTCCGTTTCGAGCCGCTTTTTGACTTTTGTCATCTTGTCGCTCAAACCTGCAATCAAGCGCACTTTGTAAGCATTCTGGATCTATTTTATGACAATTCATACATAAAGCATAGGCAAGTATGGGCATAAAACGTGTTAAAATCACAGTTATCAGTGCCAACAAAGGTTATTTCTATATCTCCCTTAAGAATATGATCTCTAATAAAATGATGCTTAATATCTATATGCTTTGCTCTAGAATGATGCACACGATTTTTGAAAGACAAATAGCACTAGAATTATCACAAAAAATTTGTATAGGTTTAAACGAAAGCTCATAGTCACCCAATTGATGAGACATCCGCAGTAGTTGTGCACAACACTGTCCAATAGCAATGTATTCAGCTTCAGTAGTGGACAAAGCGACTGATGGTTGCTTTTTACTGTTCCAGGATATTAATGCCTTTCTTAGTAATTGACAAGTGCCGCTTGTGCTCTTTCTATCTTCTTTATCACCTGCAGATCAACATCTGAAAAAGCTTCTAATTTAAAAGAGTTAGAGTGAGGATACCACAATCCATGAGATACGGTTCCAATGAGATATCGAATGATTCTCTTTACAGAAGTTAAATGTGACTCCTTGGGAGCTGACTGAAATCTGGCACATTTACATACGCTGAACATAATATCTGGTCGACTTGCTGTCAGATATAGCAGTGATCCAATCATTCCCCTGTATTTGGTTTCATCAACTGGGGTGCCATGTTCATCTTTGTCTAGATTTGTAGCGGGGCTCATAGGAGTGCCAATTAATTTTGCATTGTTCATACCAAATTTTTGAATCAGCTCTTTTGTATATTTGGTCTGACAAATAAAAGTTCCTTCTTTGGTTTGTTGGATTTGTAGCCCAGGAAGAACGTGAGTTCACCCATCATGCTCATTTCAAACTCGCTTTGCATAAGATTTGAAATTTCCTTGCACATAAGAGGGTTAGCACTACCAAATATAATATCATCAACATAAATTTGAATAATGAGATTACCTTCTGATAATCGTTTAATAAACAAAGTAGTGTCTATTTCACCTCTGGTAAAGCCATGATTAATAAGAAAAGTACTCAGCCTATCATACCAGGCACGTGGAGCTTGTTTCAACCCATACAGTATTTTGGTAAGCTTGTATACATGGTATGGAAATTTTGAATCCTCAAAGCCTGGAGGCTGTTTTACAAAAACTTCTTCCTCGATAAATCCATTCAAAAAGGCGCTTTTAACATCAATTTGAAACAGCCTGAATCCTTTAATGGATGCGTATGCCAGAAGAATTCGTATAGACTCCAAATGAGCTACTGGGGCGAAAGTCTCATCATAGTCGACTCCTTCCTGCTGTGAATAGCCCTGTGCAACTAGTCTTGCTTTATTTCTTATGACCTTTCCATCCTCGTTCAATTTGTTTCTAAATACCCATTTTGTTCCGATCACAGACATATTTTGAGGTTTGGGTATTAGTTTCCACACTTGATTCTTGCTGAATTGATCTAATTCCTCCAGCATAGCTTGCACCCAGCTTGAATCCTTCAGTGCTTCCTCTACCTTTTTTGGCTCAATTTGAGAAATCAATGCAATATTTGCTTTCCTCTTAAGGGCAGCCCTGGTTTTCATTCCTTCGTTTGGATCCCCTATAATAAATTTCTGAGGATATTCAGGTTCGCTTCTCCATTCATTTGGTCGAATTATATTTGTAGACGACTCGACTTGTGGGTCTGGAGTATTGCTGCTATTTTCTCCAGTTGACTCGATCACCCCAGATGTGCTAGTCGACTCCTGTGATTTTTCTTTGTCCTGAGCTTCTTGAGTTTGATCTTCGTCACCTGCAATAGTTCCTTTCTCGACCAAGGGATTATTTTTGTCGAATATAACATGTACAGATTCTTCTACACATAAAGTACGTTTATTGTAGACTCTAAAAGATCTGCTATTTAACGAGTAACCAAGAAAAATACCTTCGTCACTTCTTGGATCAAACTTTCCAAGATTATCTTTACCGTTATTGTGAATAAAGCATTTGCTCCCAAAGGTATGAAATTAACTGATATTTGGACGTTTACCTTTCCAGAGTTCATAAGGGGTCTTCTTCAGAATTGGCCTTATGAGGCAACGGTTGAGGATGTGACAAGCAGTACTTACGCCTTCTGCCCAGAAATGGTTTGGCAATGAATGTTCTAGTAGCATAGTTCTTGCCATGTCTTGGAGAGTTTTGTTCTTCCTTTCCACAACCCCATTTTGCTTTGGTGAGCGTGGTGCAGAAAAAATTATAAGTGTATCCTTGATCGTTGCAGAAGTCTTCAAAAGCTCTGCTTTCAAATTCTCCTCCATGGTCACTCTGAATTTTTGAGATCAGATATCCCTTTTCTCTTTCAACCTTTTTGCCGAAAACTTCAAAGTTTCTTATGGCTTCATCCTTATGAGACAAGAAGATTACCCAGGTGAAACGTGAAAAGTCATCAACAATAACAAAAGCATACCTCTTACCTCCTATGCTAGCAGTTCTAGTAGGCCCAAATAAATCCATATGAAGTAATTGCAAAGGTTTTGAAGTAGATACTATATCTTTATTTTTGAAAGAATTTCTGGTTTGCTTACTCATTTGACATGCATCACAAATATGAGTTCTAGAGAAATTCAGTTTAGGCAAACCAATAACTAAATCATGTTTGGACAGTTTTTCAATCAAACGCATGCTAGCATGGCCAAGTCTTCTGTGCCATAACCATGGATCATCAGACATAGAGGATAAGCAAATGTGGCCGTCTATCTTTTCAAATCCATCAAGTATATAAACATTTCCATACCTTTTTTCAGGAAGAATTATCTTACCTGATTCGTCTTCAATAGCACACCTATTCTTTTAAACTTTACCTCATATCCTGAGTCGCAGAGTTGACTTATGCTCAAGAGATTGTAGTTTAGGCTATCAACGAGGTATACTTCAGTAATGTCACAGTTGTTATTGAAAGGAATTGTTCCGGTGCCAACTATTTTGCCCCTTGAATCGTCTCTGAATTTTACACTTCCTCCATTGATCTTTGTAACTTCCTTGAACAGGTTTTTGTCACCTGTCATATGACTGGAACACGCACTATCTAGATACCATTTTCCTTTGCAGCTTACTCTGTGGTGTTCCTGCAAGACAAGATGATCACTTTCTTTTAGGTACCAAGCTTGCCTGGGTCCTGGTGGGTTAGTGTTACTAGGTTCAGAATTTTTTTGTTTCCAAACCCATCCTGACACATTTGATTTACAAAAGTGACAACCAAGAATATTTATGCCCACTTTTATTACAGTAATGACATTTAGCTCCAGACCTATTTATAGGTCTTTCATAAGTGTTAGAACTAGCCGACTTAGATTTAGCTGGTTCTGTCCCAGTTGACTTGTAAGTCATCTGGTCCGACCGACTGGTCGACTTGATTCTGATTGGTTTTTTTCCAGTTGACTTGTAAGTTGTCTGGTTTGACCTAGCAGAACTATGACTGGTGGATTTGCGCAAGCTGTTAAGCTACAGTTGCAACTCCTCAAACTCTTCTTGAAGTACCTCTTTTTCGATTTCACATACTTCATGTTTGAGTTTCCAGTCTTTAACCTCCCTAGTGAGTCTCATAAGTTCATTCATCATTTTTTGAGACTCTTTTAAGGTTGAATCAAGAATATCCTGCAATTCATTACATCTTTCGCAGTCATAAGATCTTACTTCACTAGTTTCACCCCGTGCCATGAAACAGTTCTCGTCATCTGAATCATCTTCATCTGTCCAGCATCCTGAGATTTTGTTTATTTCATTTTCTAGAATTGTCATGAAACAAAGATTTGCTATTTCTTCATGGTCTGAGTCATCCTCATTGCTCCAGCTTCCGAAGGATTTGTTCTTGTTGAAACCTCTAGAGATCTTCCTTTTCAGTTCTGGGCATTCAGCTTGAATGTGCCCAAATTTACCACATTCGTAGCATTTTCCATCGTTTTTATCTTGTTCATTGTATTGCCTGGATCGTCTTGGTGGGAATCTTCCTTTCTTTGTATTTCTGTATCTCCTCATCAATCCATCCATATTTCTAGACATCATGGCAATCTCTTCTTGTAGAGCTTCAGGATCATCAATTTCATTTTCAGCCATTTCAGTAGAGGTTTTGAATGCAACTATTTTCTTTTTCTCCTCTTGATTTGTCTTTTTTAAATGCGTCCTTTCGAAAGCAATGAGTTCTCCTCGCACTTCATCATAGGACAATTTGTTTAGGTCTTGAGATTCCAGAGTAACTACTTTGGTCTGCCAAGTGGTTGGCAGACTTCTGAGAATTTTTCTGACTTGATCACCACTGGTGTAGGGCTTGCCAAATGCCATTAAGTCACTAATTATCTTACTAAACCTGGCAAACATTTCTTCAATGGATTCTCCTTCTTTCATTGAGAAGGGTCTGTAGTCATGAACTAGCATGTTGATGTGAGTTTCCTTTACTTTGCTGGTTCCCTCATAGGTGACCTCAAGTTTATCCCACATCTCTTTGGCTGTATCACAACTCGATATTTTCTCGTATTCCTCACCACTTATAGCATTGTGAAGCAGATTTCTTGCCTTGTTATTCACTTGTACCGCTTCCAGTTTCTCTTTTGAGTATGAATCTATATCATGAGGATCAGCAAGTGGTGGAGTGCTAGCAGGTAGGGGATAGTTTCCCTTTTTAATGACTCTCCAGACTTTGACATCGTATGCTTTAGCAAAGATTTCCATTCGTACTTTCCAGTGAGAGAAATATTGTCCATTGAAGTATGGTGGTCTAACTTGTGAAGTTCCTTCCTGAAAGAGGGCTCCTATGATAACTTGATTTGCCATGATCTTTTCTCACAAGCTGTTAAGCAAAAGGTAAAATATGAGCCTGGCTCTGATACCAATTGAAAGTACAAGAGGGGAGGGGGGTGAATTGTAAATACTTTAAATTAATTACTTATAAGTTGACTTAAAACTTGAGTAGTCGGCTGAATATGATAATTTAGCAGATATGGTAACGGAAAGTAAAATGCAGAGAATAATTGCAGGAATTAAAAACACCGGAATTTTTATACTGGTTCGGATTCAATGTGAATCCTAATCCAGTCCCCTTGGGTTGCAAGGGAGTTCTCTTCAGTAAATGAGTTTCTTCCGAGTACAGATGTGGTGTATATCGCTCAGTTTCTCTAGCACTCATTTTTGATACAATGCCTCACCAGTTGTGTGCTCTCTTTCTATCCCTGACTTGTTATACAACAGATCTTAGTGAACTACAATGCTTGTTTGCAGTAGAATAAAGAGAGTGATTTGGTTTGATCAAAGTATGTCTAAGCTAGGGTTTACAAGGGTGTATAAATACTTTGATGGATGGTAGAGGCTTGACAACCCAAGAGGTTTGATCCTTGGAAAGAATTGATTCTTTCCAAGAATAAGGAATGAGCCGTTGCTTCTCTTGATTGCTTTCCTTTAGCAGAAGATTGCTTCACTTGATTTCTCCTTATTTGTTGGATCTTCCAAATGTGGTCGTTTTCCAGATCTCCTCGTATCCTTTAGTCTTCCGTGATTCTGCCCATGATTCGTGCCTTTGACCAAGGCTCATTTGATTTTTTCCAGCTCAGCTAATCATTGTTATTGCTGATTGATTCGTTGATTAGATTGCGCCCTGATTTACGAGACCAATCCAAATTTGTTGATCACATGCTAATTGATTTCTTCCCTTGTTCATCATGAACCATTCGAGCAGTCTTCTTTACTTCTTGAACTTGATTTCCTGCACATGTATATTATTTGCATCATTAAAACATGATCTAACATTCATCACTAACCTCCACAGAAGGTTCACCCCTGTTTGGTTGCTTGCCATTGCCAACTTGAATTTGATGTGTTGATAAAGCTAGTACGAGGTCATTTACCCTACAACCAATCAAGCTAGCAGTATTTCTAACAGCTTCACGTTGCACCCTCCAGTCCATGAACTTTTTTAAATACTCCAAGAACTCATGATTCGTAATAGAAACAAGAGCAGATGAAACTTTTTCCAGCGCTGGTGTGATAGCGTCATTGGTCTTTCAATGAGCCCAAGGTCATCTCACAAATTCCAGAATAAGGTTTCGCTCCAAGGGGTACTAGCGGCCTAGAAAATTAAATGTTGAAGGCTAATAAGCATACATGAATCTCAGCATCATGTGTACGATAATAAAACATTGACATGATGTCAATCTTGAGGTAAGCATGTGCAACAATAGCAGCGATCTTCCGTAAGTGTGTTGCAACTAACATTCGCACCATCGGCATGTCCTCTTGACACATTTGACCGTAAGTAGATCGAAGTTCTGCCGTCAACATATCTGGGGCACTTGAGTAAGCAATATGAGAAAGTCCACAAGCAGGAACTCTAACTATGAACCAGTCACCAGCTGCCAACCTCTTTACAAGGTAGAACCAATTAAACAATTTACTTTCACTCGCGGGGCATCCAATAAATGGGAGATCCGATTGAAAACTATTATCGAACATTTTGGCGACATCGTGTGAGTTTCCATCATCTGAATCGGGATAAAATGGAAAATGAAGCAACATACGAATAATCACATCGACAGCTATTGTTCTAGCCAACATAGTGTTACCAGTTTCAAAGAAACCAGTAAATAATACTGTATTTACAAATGGATCACGAAGACGAGTGCAACGCTTGGGATCACGTAGGTAGTGAACAATTTCCGTCAGATCATCGTGCAACTCAGCAACACCCTTACTGTCATCGTAATGGACAGTGATTCTCTCAAGCTGGAGAGCAGAATCACCATTCAATTGGCTGGTGAAATCAATGCCATGCTCATTATAAACGACTTCCAAGAACTTGGGGTTGTAGCTTCCATTGGACAATATGTCGAGCACCTGGTGTCCAAGACTTGCACAATACTCAGGAGACGAGTCTGCTATGGGATTTTCCAACATTTCAGGAGGTACCTTGGAATTGTCCAGCAAGCCTGAAATTTCGGCGATCAAATCAGAATCATTGTTTCCGACAAAGACTATCCCAGCACAGCCAGTTGTATCTTCTACAGTGACCTCCTCTGATTTTGCATCGTCCAAAGCCATGGAGTTCAATTGCAGCTCCTCTTGCACCAATGATTGTATACGGCAAATGGAAGAGATCATACAAGAATTACTTTCTTGCATAACTGTCACCAGTTCTTACAGCGCCTTCACCGATTCGAAGAGGTTTTTGAATTGAGCGTTAGGCATGGTAGAATGGTAGAGAGGCATGGAGTAAGAACAACGAGAGCACCAATGTAGTGAACCCATATTATATTGAAATGGAATAACAGGAATCACATACAAAAATATACGAGTCCATCTACAAATAATTACAAATACTTAAAACAAGTAACCAAATATTCCATAGGAAGAAGAAATAAGAAAAGGGAGAAGGGAGGGAGGTTCCAGATCTATCCTCTAAGAAACTAAGGAAAATAAAATAAACCAAGTTCATAGCATAAGCCTAATAGAATGTATCCTATTGTATATATAGGTATCTGCTTGTCACGACCCCAGTTCGTTCTCCGTAAACATGTCGAGACGGCACCTAGTCCCTACGACTAGGTAAGCCTAACAATGCGGAAACAATATAACTTGCGGAAAATAATAATTTAAAACTGAACAGCTAGAAGAGAACTGCATATAGGTGCCGCTTGGCATGTACAACTCAATAACACGGAAGTCTACGATATCATCCCAAAACCCGGAAACTCATGGGAACACAAGCTAACAGAAAGATAGTATACTGCTCTAACTCCAGAATCTCTAAAACAACAGTAAGAAAGGAAGGCTAACTGCTAAAGCTAGAATAAGATAGAGACTCCTTGGTCTGCTGACGCGGCAGATGTACCTCGAAGTCTCTACTAGATCTCTCCACCTCGAGGGTGACATGCCTGGGTAGAGCTACCTGGATCTGCACATGAAAAAAACATGCGCAGAAGGGGCATGAGTACACCACAACGGTACTCAGTAAGGGCCAAGCCTAACCTCGGTTGGGTAGTGACGAGGAAGGTCAGGGCCCTACTGAGAATAAACATAATAATAAGTCTTGCAACAGTATGGAATAAACAGAAATAATGAGTACAACTATGAAGTAAGACAGGTTATACAAGGCAACAAATAGCACACAGAGAATAAGGTAACACGGAGTAAAACAACTCAATATCAATACCATCAACGAGGATCTCCCAGGATACCGTCCTGTAGTCCATGTCATCAACTGTCCAAGGAGCTCCCGGGATACCGTCCCGTAGTCCATCATATGAGTATATCTGAAGGATCTCCCGGGATACCGTCCCGTAATCCAACTATCAATGTGCAGGGGGATCTATCGGGAATCTAACTTGCAGTCCCAAAGTAAACATGCGGGGGAATCTATCGGGAATCGAACCCGCAGTCCCAAAGTAAATATGTAGGGGGATCTATCGGGAATCGAACCCGCAGTCCCAAAGTAAACATACAAGGGGGGGGAGCTACCGGAATCCCACATCCGTAGTCCCAATGTAAATACGCAGTCACAACAAGAAGATATTCAAAAATGAAGTTCAAAAAAATTCAAGGCAAACAGGTAGTTCTAGCCTAACATGCTTCACGTAGTACAAATAAAGCAACTTAAGCAAATAGGCAATTTAGATCAACTAAACATGCTTTTCTAAACTAACACAAGCTATAATTGCAAATGGAATAAAGCAGGTAAGAAAGAAACTCTGTCTACATATTTAAGTAAAATCGGATTTTCAACAGTTAGCTCAAGTACGCGCTCGTCACCTCACGTACAAGGCATTCAATTACCATTTATCATATCCTAAGGGGGAGGTCCCCCACACAAGGTTAGACAAGCCACTTACCTCGAACCGGCTCAAAATCAACTAGAAACCACGCTTTTGCCACGAGTATCCGGCTCCAAATGGCCCAAATCTATTCAATTCAATTGCATGTTGTAAATAACTCCTCAAGTAACTGATTCTATAATTAAATTCTAAGCTAGTACGCGAAATTATGTAAAATGACCAAAATTTCCCTTGGGCCCACGTCTCGGAATCGAGTAAAATTTTTATTTCCAGAATCCTCACATCCTCACGAGTCTAACCATATAAAAATTATCCAATTCCGATATCATTTGGTCCTTCAAATCATCATCTTATATTTTTGAAATATTGCACAATTTTTTTCCCCAAATTCCATCCCAATTCACGAATAAAATGATGAATTCAATGATAGATTCATGTACTCTAGCCAAATCTGAGTTAGAATCACTTACCCCGATGAATTTCTTGAAACACCTTCGAAAAATCGCCAAAATCCGATCTCTCTAGGTCAAAATATCAAATAAAACCCAAAACCTCGTATTTATAGACCACCCCCCAGATTTCCACCTCTGCGGACCGCACAAAAACGACCACGGTCCGCACCAAACCAGTGCGGTCCGCACAAAAACGACGGCGGCCGCACAGGTCTTGACTACAGTGACAGGCTTTAGTATTGTGGCCATAACTTTCACTACAAATGTCCAAATTATGATTTCTTTAGCTTTCTGAAAACTAGACATGAAGGGCTACAACTTTAGTTTTCGAATCATGTCAAAATTCCTTGTAGATAAAAAGATATGAGCACCCGAAGTAGGACCAGTGAAGCAGCCCCCCACCGCGGACCGCACTACATTTTGTGCGGCCGCACAACCCCCACCGCGGACGCACTGGATT